ATACATAAATACATAAATACATAAATACAATACAAATACAATACAAATACAAAACATACAAATACATAAATACAAAATACAAAATACAAATACAAATACAATACACAAATACAAATAAATACATAAATACATAATACAAATACACAAATACAATAATAAATATAAATACAAATATACAAATACATAAATACAAATACAAAATACAAAATACAAAATACAAAATACATAAATACAAATACATAAATACAAATACACAATACATAAATACATAAATACAAATACACAAATACAAATACACAAATACATAAATACATAATACAAATACAAATACAAATACAAATACAAATACACAAATACATAAATACAAATACATAAATACAAATACATAAATACACAAATACAAATACAAATACATAAATACAAATACAAATACAAATACATAAATACAAATATACAAATACATAAATACAAATACACAAATACAAATACATAAATACATAAATACAAAATACATACAAATACATACAAATACAAATACAAATACAATACAACATAAATACAAATACACAAATACATAAATACAAATACACAAATACATAAATACAAATACATAAATACAAATACATAAATACAAATACATAATACAAATACAAATACAAATACAAATACAATAATACAAATATACAAATACAAATACAATACAAAATACATAATACAAATACATACACAAATACAATACATACAATACAAAATACAAAATAAAAATCAAAATACAAATACAATAAATAATACAAATACAATACAAATACACAAATACAAATACAATACAAAATACAAATACAAATACATAATACAAATACAAAATATACAAATACAATAAAATACAAACAAATACAAATACATAAATACAAATACATAATACAAATACACAAATACAAATACAAAATACAAATACACAAATACAAATACAATACAAATCACAAATACAAAATACAAATACATAAATACATAAATACAAATACATAAATACAAATACAAATACAAATACAAATACAAATATAAATACAAATAAAATACAAATAATACATAAATACAAAATACAAATACAAATACACAAATACATAAATACAAATACATAATACATACAAAATACAAATACATAAATACAAATACAAATACAAATACAAATACATAAATACAAATACATAAATACAAATACACAAATACATAAATACAAATACAAATACAAATACAAAATAAATACATAAATACAAATACACAAATACAAATACATAAATACAAATACAAAATACATACATACATAAATACAATAATACATAAATACATAAATACATAAATACATATACAAATACATAATATACAATACAAATACACAAATAAATAAAATAATAAATACATAAATACAAATACATAAATACAATACAAATACATAAATACATAAATACACAAATACAAATACAAATACACATATAAATACATAAATACAAATACATAAATACAAATACACAAATACATAAATACAAATACACAAATACATAAATACAAATACATAAATACATAAATACAAATACACAAATACAAACATACAAATACAAATACATAAATACAAATACAAAATACAAATACAAATACACAAATACATAAATACAAATACACAAATACAAAATACAAATACATAAATACAAATACAAATACAAAATACAAATACATACAAATAAAATAATACATAAAACATACATACAATAATAAATACATAAATACAAATACATAAATACATAACATACAAATACAAATAACATAATACAAATACAAAATACAAATACAAATACTATACATAAATACAAATACACAAATACATAAATTAAATACAAATACATAATACAAATACAAAAAAAACAATACAAAAAAAAATACACAAATACAAATACATAAATACATAAATACACAAATACAAATACACAAATACAAGTACATAAATACAAATACATAAATACAAATACATAAATACATAAATACAAATACATAAATACAAATACATAAATAAATAATACATAAATACAAAATACATAAATACAAATACAAATACAAATACATAATACAAATAAATACAAATACAAATAAATACAAAATACAAATACACAAATACAAATACAAAATACAAAACACAAATAATATACATAAATACATAAATACATAAATACATAAATTACAAAATACAAATAACATACAAATACATAAATACATAAATAACATAAATACATAATACAAATACACAAATACAAATACATAAATACAAATATACATAAATACAAAATACAAATACACAAATACAAATACACAAATACAATACACAAATACAAAATACAAATAAATACAAATACAATACATAAATACAAAATACAATACATAAATACAAAATACAAATACAAATACAAAATACAAAATACACAAATACATACATAAAATACATAAATACATAAATACAATACATAAATACATAAATACAAATACACAAATACAAAATACATAAATACATAAATACAAATACCAAATACATAAATACATAAATACAAAACAAAATACATAAATAAATACAAATACAAATAATACAAATACACAATACATACATAAAATACAAATACAAAATACAAATACACAAATACAAATACATACAAAAATACATAAATACAAATACACAAATACATAAATACATAATACACAAATACAAGTATACAAATACATAAATACATAAATACATAATCAAATAATAAATACAAATACATATACAAATACACATACAAAATACCAATACACAAAATACAAAATACAAAATACAATACAAATACATAAATACAAATACAAATACATAAATACAAATACACAAATACACAAATACAATAAATACATAAAATACATAAATACATAAATACAAATACATAAATATATAAATACAAATACATAAATACAAATACATAAATACATAAATTTAAGAACAGGATCATACACATGTACACACACAGGAGGGCACCTGACACACACGGGAAGGCACCTGACACACTGGAGGGCACCTGACACACACACTGGAGGGCACCTGACACACACAGGGGGGCACCTGACACATGGGAAGGCACCTGACACACATGGGAAGGCACCTGACACACACACTGGAGGGCCCCTGACACACACAGGAGGGCCTCTGACACACACTGGAGGGCCCCTGACACACTGGAGGGCCCTGACACACACTGGAGGGCCTCTGACACACACTGGAGGGCCCCTGACACACACTGGAGGGCCTCTGACACACACTGGAGAGGGCACCTGACACACATGAGAGGGCACCTGACACACACACTGGAGGGCACCTGACACACACAGGGGGGCACCTGACACATGGGAAGGCACCTGACACACATGAGAGGGCACCTGACACACACGGGAAGGCACCTGACACACTGGAGGGCACCTGACACACACACTGGAGGGCACCTGACACACACGAAAGGGCACCTGACACACACGGGAAGGCACCTGACACACTGGAGGGCACCTGACACACACTGGAGGGGCACTGACACACACACATGAGGGCCCTGACACACGGAGGGGCCCCTGACACACACAGGAGGGCACTGACACACAATGGACACACACACACTGGAGGGCCCCTGACACACACTGGAGGGCACCTGACACACACAGGAGGGCACCTGACACACAGAGAGGGCACCTGACACACCCCTGACACACTGGAGGGCACCTGACACACACGGAGGGCACTGACCACAGAGGGCACTTGACACACTGGAGGGCACACACACTGACACACACGGGAGGCACCTGACACACACGACACATGGAGGGCACCTGACACACTGGAGGGCACCTGACACACACGGTGAAGGCACCTGACACACGGGGCACCTGACACATGGGAGGCACCTGACACACTGGAGGGCACTGACACACACACTGGAGGGCACCTGACACACACGGGAAGGCACCTGACACACACACTGGAGGGCACCTGACACACAGAGAGGGCACCTGACACACACAGGAGGGCACCTGACACACTGGAGGGCCCCTGACACACTGGAGGGCCTCTGACACACTGGAGGGCCCCTGACACACACAGGAGGGCCTCTGACACACACAGGAGGGCCTCTGACACACACTGGAGGGCCTCTGACACACTGGAGGGCCCCTGACACACACAGGAGGGCCTCTGACACACACTGGAGGGCCTCTGACACACACTGGAGGGCCCCTGACACACACTGGAGGGCACCTGACACACACACTGGAGGGCACCTGACACACAGAGAGGGCACCTGACGCACACAGGAGGG